CATATATCTGTTTGTACAAGAGTTGAAGGGGGCTGGGCTGGGAACAGATCCAGTTGAGAAATGTCAAGATATTTTGATAAACATTGTTCCCAGTCCTCATGACCTTCTTCAGTGGCACATCTTCCTGCATTTCAAGGTTTTTACTGGCAAAAGTGAATTGGGAATTTAGATATCAAAATAGATATACACAAGTGCCAAACACAAAATAGCAGACAATGCCATTTATCTCTCTATATTCACCTCATAAGGTAGTCAAGAGGTATAAATCAGCATATTAGACAGATTTGGGAACTTATTTTTCCTCAGATCAATGTATGTATTTTCAGTGCTACCTAGTTATTTTATTATAACATGCTGAAAAGGAAACCAAATAGTGCTTCACTCATAGACAAAGAGAAAGGAATAAAAGCCTCCAAACAGAAAATAAAAGGCCTTGGAACTAATACTGGTAGACAGCAATGTTTGATATGAAAGCTACATATTTCAGCCTAGAAACAGATCTTTGTCAGAAGCAATCCTCAGAAAACCCTGGATTCTAAAATAACCAAATATTGAATTGAAAGAGCTGAAGAAAAATCCAGTAAACCTGAACTGCATGATATACAGTAGATCTTGTTTCCAAGCTGAATATTTAAAAAAAAAAAAAACTTTCCATGTCTTTATTTGCTTTTTCTTGCTACCTGCATCCACTGTTCATTCATCAGACTCATTTGAGAGAAATATAAAAAGTAACTGCGATTTCTAATGTTGTCTTCTTCTAAGTTGCTAGCTGCATTTTGTGTGTTCCAATTGTAGAATCATATCTGAAAGTCAAAGAATTAAGTTCTGGCACTGGAGCAAACTTGCTCATTGTACTAAAATTACCTTCCATTAAGAAGCACATAGGATGTTCCATTCCTGTTAATTCTCCCCAATCTACAGCATTATGTATCAACCTCACCAATTTTAAGATATATGGATTTCAGCTCCCAGAATTCCATAAGGTGTAGTGTTCAACAATTCCTACTTTCTTCCATTCATCTTCTGCCTTTTTAAAAAAACATTCATCTGCTATACGTAGGTCATTTTCAGGATCATTTTCAGGAATGTACTTTGCAGGCAACTCTCTTTCTCTGGAAGGCAGATGAGGCTATGTATGTGCTATACTGATGGACTGGATGAGGATGAATAAACTGAAGCTCAGTCTGGAAAAGAAAGAGGCATCCTTTATTGACACTCCCTTAGCCTGAGACAGGAAGAGTGGTTCTCCCATAATGAAAGAGATTTGGATTTTACTTATTCTCAAGTCTCTTTCTTGACCTATTGTGATGAAGTAATTGGCACTCCAAATCAATGAACAAAATGGCACATGGGTCCTGAATTTGGATAAGAATGAAATTTGATGTACTATAAAAGTTGTGTACAGTTAATTTATTTTGTTTGTTTTCTGTCACATTAAACATGGCCATTCTTTCCAAACATTGGGAGTGTGAGAGTATTTCAAAGCAATTAGGGGCCACATGCAGCATTGGGACCACAGGATGGCCATCCTGGCCCTAAGGCCAATTTCCAAGAGAACCTTTCTTTGTTCCGCAATCCAAAACGTAATTAAGAGAAATGTCTTCTTCCAGGTGATCCCTATTTGGAAGTATTTCCACAATACAATAAATTAGTCACCCATTCTCCCAAACCTTTCATATTTGTTATCTCCATCCCTTAGATGTTTTAATGATTTCTGGATTTATTGTACATTTTATGTCTTTTGTTTACGGTTAGTCCTCAGGTTACAACCACATGTTCAATGACCATTCTAAGTTAAGACTGTCCCAGCATCTCCATGAATTGCAATTTGGCACCTGGGCACAGCTTCTGCTTACGATGGTTGCAGCATCCCACAGTCACATGATCATCTTTTGTGACCTTCCCTGCTGGTTTCCAAGCAAAATCAGTAGGGAAGTTGGTAAGGAAAATTGCTAATCACTCAGGTAAATAACTCCAGCTGCATTTATTCCCAAGGAGCCCCAGGAAACTTGTACTCCATAGCAACATACACCCCTGCTAGCTTGTGCACCTGAAACTCCCCCCCCCCCCGGGCACCTGTGCTCTATCACACTCAGGGTCTCCATTGACCCACCCATATGTTATAGCACCCACCTGGAGTCATTCCCAACTCACCTGTGCCTCCTGCCAATCTGCCTGCAGCTTCCCCACACTTGTTTGGAACTCCTTCCTCTTCCTGCTGAACACCCAGACAATCCTGGAATTATTGTAGCAATGGGGACTGCCAAGATTGCCATTGTTAACTGATCTGCTCATGTGACATCCTGCTCTATGATCACATCATTTAGCGATGGAAATATGGATCCCAACTGCAGCCATAACCTGAGGACTACCTGTACATTTTTATCGTGTTGGCAGATTTAATTTTGACTAATTTGGGATTGTTTTTCCTGGTTCTTTTATACTGTTGCTGATATTTTAATTTCATTTGTTCATTATTGCAGTGCTTGGCTGGGTTGTCTTTCCCCAGGGAATTGTTTCTTGAGGTTGTTACTGTTCCACTCACTCCATATTATTATCTTTTTAAATATAAAACACAAAATGGCTTCAGCATACTTGTTTTCCGAGCTTAATCCACTGTGGGCTCTGTATATGTGTTTGCTGTTTAGAGTTGGAAGCTTGGGAAAAAGAAATAAGCAGATGCTGCTAAATGTCTACAGCCATGAGGGAAAAAAATCACAATTGTTCAGAATAAAGCAGGCATGCATTTAGTTTTTTCTTCCTTAAATCAGATACTATTAAAACAAATGCTTTTTTCCCTGTGCTTTAATAATTTAAGTATGGCTAAACCAGAGAACTGAGTAATTTCTGCTCAGCTAAAGAAATGAATTTTCTTAGCAACTTTTAAAGGCCACTTTTGTTGCGCCACATATTTCTAGAAATTTAACTATGGTACAAAATATTATCTAGATTATTTGCAAGACATTTTCTTTAAAGAAAATATAGCTCTTCAATCTCTGATAAAGATACCATGAGGATGAAAGTACTATTTGAAACTGAATTTCCAGAAAAATGAACCGTGGCACTTTCATAATTCATTAATTATTCTAATTATATTTCACAGGAGCTTGCACTAATATGAGCTTTTATAAACAGTTAAGAGGTCTTTATCTGTGAAAAACTCTCTTGCTCAATCACCAAACTGTTAAAAAGAAAATTGTGGGAAGTATTCAAAAAAGCAGTTTGAATATGGAAGAAAACATTCCATTATGGATATAGACTTTAAAAGGTTTCCTAGTGTTAAGTGAAAATAGGCAGTAATTGTATTTTTCCCTCACTCTGAAGATGCTGTGTATGTGGGGGCTGGGGGGGGGGGGCAAAAGCCTCTGCTCAAAGATGAAATAACTTATATCAGTGAAAATCACAATTGAAAAGGCATATTGATAGGGTAAATGTATCCATTCTTAAAACAGATTGGTGTAATTGCAAGTTGCACACATTTTAGCAAGAATTGTGTGCAGTCACTGCTGAGGATGATATATTACATCTTATTACATCATTTCATAAAGGGAATGCTTATGTTATGAGGCTATAGAAAATAATTAGAGGATATGGGAGTCAGTTAAAAGCAACCATAAGAAGAATCAATATAATTTTTGAGGTTTGATCTTTACATCCTATTTCTGAACTGCAGCAGAAAGATTAAAGATCCAGCATCAGCAGCTTTTTTTTTTCTTTTCTTGCTTTTCTGAAAATGTGATATTGCCCCTTTTCATGGGTGATTTCATAAGATGAATAACTAACACAAGACTTTCTAAAAGTTTCACAAGATTGAGATTCAAGGAAGCCATGGGCTGAATGAAGACAAACTCAGATTAGAGAATGATGGTGCTGATCAGATAAGGTAGTGCTAGTGTTGGTGTGGAGAAAAATACAGGTTATAAATCAAATAAATACATTTCAGCTTTGTAAAGTGATTAGGACTATCTTGCAGCCTATTCTTAAGCTCTATCTCTATCTCTAAATCATACATAAGAAACTTGCGTTGCTTGAGTGAGAAAGCAGTACTTTTTTAATCACTATATCTCATATAGTCTTCATAGGAAGGCCCTAGATAAAAATTCTATTAAAGAGGAAAATGAAAGGAAAATTTGCAGCTTTAGGACTTTAAATAGATTGGAAACCCCCTTGTTCAGAATCAGTTTGATTGCTGTTAACAATCTATTTCAAACCTATTCACTACACTTAACTAAAGACATTTCTAGATGACTATTAAAATCAACACTTCCTCCTGGTTTTAGTACTACTAGGGTTCCTTGAAAGACTAGCATAGAGTCTCACAGATATTGCCCAATTTTAACAATATATGATATTTATCTACATGCATTAACAGGATAAGGATTACTCTTTCAAATAGAAGTTATTTGTAGTTCAAGGTTGAATTGTGAAGTATTTGGTGCTCCCTAAACGTGGTTGTTTGATTACAGACATTTAATTTACTCAAGTAGATAACATTAAAGCAGTAGCCCCCAGCTTTTTGGGCACCAGGGACTGGTTCCGTGGAGAGATGTTTCTGTGGACCGGAGTGGTGTGTGGTTTCATGTGCTGCCTTCATCCCACAGATGGGGCTTCGCTTGATTGCATGGCCTGGTTTCTCGCAGGCTGTGGCCTGGTGCAGATCCACGAACTGTGGGTTGGGAACCCCTGCATTAAAGAATTCAAATTGATGTTACCTAGTTGGGTAAGGAAATGGTTGCAAGCAAACAACCAAGCTTAGAGAGCACCGAGAACTCCATTACTCCTTCTTTTTGTTTTTGGACAGATACACAACTGCCCATTTGCAGATATACCAAAAGGTTTCATTCTCCAGTCTGTACGGATGTCAATTGTTGTTGGGCTGTTCATTCATTAACTAAACACATATGTTGGCATTGTATTTCATACTGCAGTTCTTTTGCCAGATTGGTTTATGTAATAGCAGATGAAAAACTTCTTTTTAGTTTATTGATCTGCAATCATAATTGTGATCTAATTCTCAGTTTTATTATAAACAGCTTTTAGCAGAATGCAAGTACTTACATTTAACTATTGCAAAGTTATTTATAGATCACCATATTCAAAACAATTTGCACCAAATTATTTCACACAAATTAAAAAATAATTAACAATAATATTCTCCAGAATCACAAACTTCATTACAAATGCATTTCATTTCCTAACAGGATGAATTAATGGCATTGATGTTCATGTGCAAATGTATAGTTTTTTTAAACCTCCCCCCCCCGAATGAGAAAAGAGGCAGAAAAAATAAGAGAATGCTACATGTGAACATTTTTAGAATAATCAAACCAACAATCTGATTAAAGTACAAAGAATAACTACTGCTTGAATGCAAATTACTCAAATGCAAATAAAATCCAACCATAAAACTCAATCTATGCATATGACGATTCTATCAAGAGTCTCAGAAGGATTTCTTTTAAAATCATATTGGAATATTATTGTGCTTTTTTAAAAACAAATATTTCAGTAAAATATTTATTAGATCTAGCAGATCTAGAGCGCAAAATGTGGAATGACCATTAGATGGCAGAAAACAAATGCAGATAACAACTCATTATTGCCATCTTGTGATGACAGCTTTTTGCAGCCCAGACCCAGTAGCCCAAATATAAATTGCTATCAATGTATTCCCACACATGAAGCTTAGCTGCAATATTTGTAAAAAAAAAAAGTTTTTCAAGAAAAGAAATGTTTGGAGATACCTATCGATCCCTGCTGCTGGAATTAAAGCACTTTAATATTTTTTAACAGGATCAATACATCTCTCTTCTTGGGTACAAGGTAATCAGGGATAAAAAGTGACAATTTTATACATCATATCAACTAGTTAAAAATTCCAATATTGTATCCCTGGATTGAATTGTTTTATGCACAATCTCTTTAAGGGTTTTTCTCTGTCAAACAGAATAATGGAGTAAGATTATTAGATGCCCAACTATCAGATAGATGTATCTGTCAAGTGGAGTTACCACATATGCCATGATAAAGAAGGAAAAGTTTTATCAGAATATGATGGGAAAAAACAAGGAAAGAAATTTAGTTGTATAAATATAAACACAGTGTGAAAATGGTTTATAATTTACAAAGGATGTGGATTAAGAATAAGTTAAATAAAAAGTGGTTTCCATAGTTTTTTTTAATAAACATCTCAAAAAAGATTCATTTTTAATACTCCTTTTACAAGCACATGTAATAATATTTTTTGATATGGTATACACAACCTATTTATATAACAAAATGATGTGGTTTTGCTTCTTTCTGCTCTATCTGATTTGGTTTGGTTTAAAGAGGTAGGGTACAAATAGGAAACTTGATGAGAAAGACTATTTTCTCCCCCCATACTTCTGATTTTAATCAATGGAAAGTGCAATGTGGTGGCCCAGTTTTGTCTTCAGGCAGCCTTATAAATCGAAGCACCTCTGGCTGCTTGATACTATGATCCCCTTGAAAAGTTCATTCGGAAAGTGAAGAGGTGCTTGCAGGTTAAAAGTGAAAAATGTTTTTGTGGCACTGAGATTTCAAACGTTCTTCTCCATTCTCATAAAATTGCTGCTGCAATTATGGATATGAAACAGATCCTGGGAGAGAATGCACAGAACTGGTGCTTGAAGCTTGAGGCGAGCAGGTTGCCAGGTGCTGTCCACCTGGGCCAGCATCTTCTTCATTAGTCTCTTCCTTCTGTAGAGTGTTTTGGGATGGGCATTCAAAATGTACACAATGAAATACCTGAAAGAACAACAAACTTAAATTACTACAATAAAAGCACAAGCGTAGGTAGATCTAAATGATTTGCATCTAGCATAAACATGGAACATATAGACAGACCAAACAACTTAATTTATTTAATTCCTCTCCCCCGACTAAGGGCCACATTCACTTCCTTCCCTGAACAACAATATGTAATTTAATACATGGTTATACAACACTTTGATGAGAAAAAATGTTTCAGAGCTATAAGAGCATGTATATAGCTCTTTAAATAAAACATAACTTTCCCCAGGTTATACTGCAACTTTTTAGGACAAAGTGCTATATAAGGCACTCTTGCAAACTTTCTTCCCTTCAGAACAGCTGCACAGCCTCAGTATCTAGAACAGTGATGGCGAACCTTTTCGGCACGGCAAAGGGAGCACTTTGCGTGCTCGTCAGGGCCGCGACGAGGAAGAGGAGCCGCCCAGAGGGTAAAAGGTACAGAAAAGGTACTTCCGGTTTCCAACAAGTCTTCCGGTTACTGCCGCACATGTGCACACGCCGATCAGCTGCCTGACACACATGCTCACACCGGAAAATGGAAGACCAGCTCTTCTGGTTTCTGGCACGGCCACAGGCACAAAGGCCAACTGATCATCACATGCGCATGCGCGCCGGAAACCTGGAAGAGGAACAGGCGGTGCTGCATGTGCCAGGTGACATGGCTCCACATTCCACTTCAGGCATGAGTGCCATAGGTTCGCCATCACGGATCTAGAAGGATCATCCTGAATTTAAGATTATCTATTAGAAAAAGGAAAAGTAGACCAAACAAACAAATACAAAACCTGTGCAAAGCCAGGTTTCCCAACTTGTTAACATAAGGGGGGCACTTTTATCTAGAAATAATCCTGATCTTTTTCTCCCTCACAATAAAAATGTACATACAACCTATTAGTATGTGTTTACATATAACTGTAAGAAACCAGTGTCCAAAACAAGAGAAATAATAATACATGGAAAGAATAATAATTGATAAAAATCAATTGCCATACAATAAACCACTTCCTTTATAAAACTAATTTCCCATCACATATTCCAATCATAACCACACACAGAAAATTCACAGTGATATACATAAAGCTACAAGTACACAGCCATTCTTCTCCGTACTTCTGGAAACAGAAAAAACAAACAAACCCCAAGATAGTGATAGAATCAGAGAGAAATAACAAAGGAAGGGAACAAAACTGGATGGTTATGAAGCAAGCAAAAGTTATGAAGTGAAGTATAAGCTCTGTTTGGGCTTTACAAAAAATGTTAAACACTCTCTTTTAAATCCAATCTTCAAAAACATCCACATTTTCTAGCAACAATGTCTGCAGTCATTAATTTGTTTTCAGCAGCATCTTCTTTTCAATTTATATGAGAACTTTTTCACCATTATTTGGGGAAAAAGTAACCTTCTGATCAATATCTCAGGGCTATGTTCCCTAAATGTGATGAAGCTGACTATAATTTACAAAAGCCTAAGTGATTAAAGGTGGTCCTCGGTTAATGATCATGCATTTAGTGACTGTTCAAACAACCATGCCGAACAACTGGTAGTAACAACCTGTCCTCCAAGTTCTGGCGGTGCAGCATTTTTGTGTTCACATCAATGGTGAAATGTAAAATTTGTTACTACCGGTTCTCTGGGCATGGCTTGATGTGTGTGTGTATGTGTGTGTGTGTGGGGGGGTAATGTGACTGGATGAGTGTGGCCAACTTTTTTTTTTTTTTTTTTTACTTTTAAAAGCATTTTTTCTACAACCTCTTCGGTCAAAGAGGTTGTAGAAAAAATGCTTTTAAAAGCCTCTGACGATCCCAGCTGAGCCGCACAATCATCAGAGGCTTTTTTTTTTTTTAAACTTTTAAAAGCATTTTTTCGGCCAAAGAGGTTGTAGAAAAAATGCTTTTAAAAGTAAAAAAAACAGCCTCTGATGATCGTGCGGCTCAGCTGGGCATGGGGTGGGGGGGCGCAGGGATTTTTCCTACTGGTTCTCCAAGCCACCCGTCGCTATCATTACCGGATCAGGTGATCTGGTCCGAACCGGGAGCATTTCACCCCTGGTTCACATGATTAAAATTTGAGCATTCAGTGCCTAGTTCACAATTACATCATCACAGCAAGCTGTGGTCATGTGATCACAATTTCTGATGTTTCGTCATGGCTATTTCCTTTGCTATACTGATACCATGAAAACATACAAAGCTGACTGAATTTCACAATTACTCACTTGATCATAAACAACTGGTACTTATTTTTTTCCATCAGATTTTTCCAGATGTGTCTACTTACAATACTTTTCTGATTGCTGATGCATTTGCATTGTCTTTAATTTTCATTGCTGTAAAATTATAGATTTTGTAAGTTTTAAAATATTGTTTTAATATGCTGTATTTTTGCTGTCTCAATTATTTAATTTTGACAGAAAAATTAGATAATTGTGGCAAACATAAATTGCACTTTAATTCATAGTCCAAACTGAATTTCTAAGTATGAATAAATATTGGGCTGCAAAAACATAATTCTTATTTCATAGCTGTGGTTTAATAGCCTATTTATAAAGCTGGCAACAACTCTGGGAAAGCTCGACATGATATCAATTCTTTATCTAATAAAGACTTACATTCTTAAAACATTCTTAAAGATCCGTCTCATCCTGGGCTACACTGAAGATGGCATTTAATTTCGTTGTACGAGGTACAATGACAATGAAGTAAACTAAACTAACTAAATATATGACTAAATGTAAGGTGCTATACTAAAAGAATCCAAAATTGCAAAATGGTTTGTTCCTTAGTAGGGAAGACTCCAACCATGTACAGTAACAGTGTCAATTGTTGAATTCAAGCATATTTATTAAGCAGAGAATGATAATTTAGTGATCCCTAATATTCTCAGTAAAGTATCTTTCTTAGTGCTCTCTTTAAATGTGGAAAATGTTCTCTGAAACAAGAATTGTTCAAAAGAGTAAAATGTACTATATGAATATTTTTTAAAAGTGAATTCTTTTAAAGGTTTACCATCACCAGCCTATGGCAGACAGATAATTGTATTCCATGGTATAATAATCTTTATCCACACCTGTAGAGTAAAGTAGCAATTTCTACACTGTGCCACTGACAGCAGTATTGGCTCTGGTCAAAAGTGGTAGAATTTTGAATGAAAAGAAAAACAAAGTTTGATTTATTCAAATCAAGTGCAAATATGTTTTAATAAGCAATCTCAAATGTATGCAAAAAAACAACAACCCGTCAACCTAGAAGGGTTGACACTTATGGAAAGACATTTTACCATCTTTAATTATTTGACACAGCATGATAGAAACCTGCCCCTTTTTACCTTTGTGCCTACTTTGAAATAAAATAGGTGGTGTTTTGCACATCTGCGCTCTGTTAATTCAGTAGTTGGTTGGGGCTTCAGATTCAGCTTGATCTCATCTGTAAGACTTTAAGACTTTAAATAGGTATGTGAAGCACATCTATTGCCTTTAGCTCACTGAAAAATGGGAATTCCAGTAATTCCCTGAACATGTCACTGAACAAAAGCTTTGAAAATTATCTCTCAGGCTCTTCGTTGGCAACAGATATATCTTGTAAGAGATAATTTGTCAAAGACTTAAAACTATAGTTTTGATTGCTATTTGTTCTATATATTTTTTGAAAAGATAACTGGATAATATGTGCCACTGGAGTGAGATTATAAAGGCTTGAAGAACTTTAGTGCCACCAGTGGTATTAACCAAACTTGAAATTTAGTTAATACCACTTGAATATGAATGATAAAAAGGGGTTAAAATGCTACTAGTTGAATAAAATTGCCACCTAAGGGGAGAAATATGTAATACACTTTTATGATTAACAGTTATAACAAGTCTGTTTGGATTTTTGCTTTAGATTGATGAGTAAGATGCTGAATTTTTTAGAAAAGTTTTTTTTTCCTTTTAAACCACTACAGAAACAGATTAACTAATAATATCCTATATGTTAATATCTTTCTGCATATGTTTTAAAATACAAGTAAATCTCTTGTAAAGCACCAGAAGGAATCATTCCAATGACACTACTTTGTAATCTTCTTCTGTAAAATGTTTTTTTAAAAAACATTCCTCTTTGATCTGATAGTTAATGCCAATTAATTTCACAGAATAACACTGGAAATGAGTAAATATTATCCAAGCAGTTAAAAAAACCAGTAAATACCCTGACCTGTCACTTTATTTCTATCTGTGAATTGTAGAAATATTATCTCCAGCCCTCTTTTAATAGAAATAGGAATTTTTTATGATTTTAGCTGACTGCTATCTCTCTGGAAGAAAGGACTAAAATAAATAACTGATGTAACATCACCTTTTCAAGCATTAGAATACTTTCTCCTTGTTTTCTCATCTTTGCTGCAGCCAAAAATCCAAGTACGGTAGCTTTTTAAAGTGTCACTGAACATTGACCAGACATATTCAAGTAATAACTAGCCCCTGCGTCATACTGTCTCTGTATGCTCTACATCACAATCCAGAAGCCTGACCATACATAAGAAACCAGTACACCTTTAGACATGATGTTTGGTTGTTCAAAAAGACACGCAGGCTCAGTACTTGAAGATACTTCTTTAAAGTCCAATAGCAATGGGCTGTTCCATTACTCAAGAATGTGTGTCAAAATATATCTGACTTGGGGTTCTTTATATTTGATATTATTTTGGCCTGGAGAGCTGCCTGAATATGCTACTCTTGTTATTCCATCTCTGCCTGGATCCTCATGCTCATTAGAGAAATAGCACAAGGAAAACGAGTCCTATCTGTATTTACATTACAGCTCTTCCTTCAATTATCTGAGTGATGTCTCATTTCCAAATGTGTGGATCTGTTGCTTTGAAGACACTTTGCGAAATACAATTTTCATTTTTTTTAACAGCTGCTGCTGTTTTTCTAACTATCACAATCTGAGAATTGAATTTCAGTAAGTTGATCAATTATCTCAAACCAGAGTGC